CGGGGGGCGGGAGACCCGTGTCCGCCCGAGCTTGCCTGCGGGTTTGTGTTTCTGAGGTACTTGTAGCCGGGCGCTTTCAGGCTGTCTTTGTCCCGCTGAGAGTAGCGGTAGAGCTGCAGCTGCTGCCCAGAGAGACTTCTGCTTGTGCCGGGGTGGTTTCTGAAAGAAATAATTCGTGGTCTTTGTAAGGAAGCGCTGGGAAACGCTCAGTGCCTGTGTGCAGAACATCCAGAGCGTCCCTCCGTCCTTTCAGTGGGAGGGGAACGGCTGTCTCAGGGCCTGAGCATGTAAGATGCTGCGTGTATAAAGTTCCCAATGACTTTAGCTCTTTTTCTGTGTGTAGTAAGATCAAGCGCTACATAACTTTTCATTTGGAAGATGGCAGGTAATCAGACCCAGGCTCTTCTGGGTCAGTGCAGGGGTCTGTCTAGCTCTGACTGGATCTCCAGCAGTGGCAGTGAGAGCTGCACGCAGCCAGCCTGACTGCTTTCTGTGCCCGATTCCCCTCAGGCTCTTAAGCATCCACGCTGGCTGTGTCAGGGTGTTAGTACACCTCTGCATGGTGCTTTCACTATCTCTTTATGGACTCGTTATCCCTGATTTTGTCTAATCCCTTTCTGGACTTGCTTCTGCTGTCTGCTTCTGCAGCCCCAGTGGCAGCAGTCACTACCTGCTGTTTGAAGATACATCCTTTTATCTGTTTTATACTGTTCCTACTAGTTTTCTGGAGTGCCCTCTAGTATTAGTCTTGTGAGATTTGGTGAACAACAATTGCACATTCAGTTTATGCACAGTGTTCAAAATTTTGTAAGCGTTTGGTACATCAGCTCTCAGCTTTCAGCTCTCCAAACTGAACAGTCTTAGTCCTTTTGGATTATTATTGAGGCAGGTACTCTGTCCCACTGATCATTTTAGTTGCCTCTCATCCATACTGTTTTTCACTCCACAGTGCTGCTCTTAAAGGTGCATAATCTGGAGCTGCGAGCTCAAGATGTGGGTATGGCAAGGTTTTACACAGTGGCAAAATGCTACCTTCAGTCTTGCTCTCAAAATCCTTCCTGTTGGTGGCCAACGTTTTGTTGTTGTCTTTGACTGCTGCTGCACATTGTCTGTGATTTCAGTGAGCTGTCGCTGATGACTAAAACTTTTGAGTTCAGAACTGCCAGTTATGAGTTCATTGTCATGTAGGCTTGTTTTGTTTATTTATACATTACATTATGTACATAGAAGCTCACCTACATCACTTTTGCCTGCTTACTCAGTTTTCTGCAAGTCTTCTAGCATTCCTTGCCCTCATAGCATTTGATTGCTTGTAGGGGCTTAGGATCATTAGAAACTCAGATTTCATTCTTCTCCAGGTCATAGGTGAAAGACACTGAATAGAATCAGTCTCAGCACTGATCTCTGTGACTTTTCTTTATACTGAAAAGGGACCACTTAGCCCTGTGCTTTGCTCCTTATTTTTTTAAGCAGCCTTGAATCTGTAACAGAACCTTTTCCCTAATCCTATGTCAGTTCAGCCTTTTTAGTCCCACCTTCAGTGCGGGGCTTTGTCAAATGCTTTTTGAAAAACCTAACTCTGTCCGCTGGGTTCCTTCATCCGTCTGCTTATTGACACTTCATAGACTCCAGCAGGTTAACAAGGCAGTATTTTCCCCTCATAGTAAAGCTGACTCTTTAATGAAAGATTTTATGTCAGGAAGCAGCATGCATTTCACTGATGCCCCTACTGCTATTACACTGAGTGCCACATACACACTTGAGCACTGCCACACATCTCCGCATAGCCAAAGGCTTTACTGAGCAGAGAGGCTCCGCCCTGTCAGCAGACTCCCCAGGGCTCCCCATGCTGCTGTTCAGAGAGCTGTCTGTCAGTGGATGCTCAGCATAACACACCTACAGTTATTTTTAGTCCATAAAATTAGTCCATCCACACTAACAACAGCTAGGAAAAATTTAAATACTGGCTAAGCAGATTCAGTATGTCCACTGATAGATGGAAGCTCATGAGTCATCTGGATCTGAATGAATCAAATGTTCCTAATGCCATTGCTGCAATGATGTGTTTGTACATAATATTTGCAAAGCAAACAGATAAATATTCCCAGGAGATTGGAAGAATGGGCATACAGGAACAAAAGACTTGCAGTATCTTTATTGCATGTAGAAAGTAACTTGGGAGAGTTCTGTTTGGTCTTCTACCAAACTTAGCATTGCTTGTGTTCAAAGATTTGGGTAAATGCTGCCAGGGTTACCCCTAAGCCTTCATTGCCATTTTTATGGTAGATCATCATTTTGGGGGTGGGTGGGTTGTTAAATTCAGAGGTTTTTGTTTGCTAATGAGTTCATAGTTGTGCACAAGAGTGACTTTTTAGTTTGCTTGTTTAATGTCTCTGCTGTTAGAAGACTGACCTTGAAGACCCACCCTGAGGCCTGTAGACTGTTACCATGTGGACTGCTGGGTGGACTTTAAACACTTAGTGTTTAAGGTAAAGATGGGAAGATGGCAAAATGTTTTTTAGCAAGGGCTTTTCTAGATGGGTATGCAGCACCACAGTAATTGCTGTAGAATCTAGAGGATGCGCTTGAAAGGCTGTCTTTATTTTCAGAGGAGGGTGATTGTAAAAATGATCAATGATCATAGTTATCCAAAATTAACCTTAAAGAAATTAATCATACGTTCTAAGAGGGCTGATGGCTTCAGCACATTGAGAACAATCTGGTATTGAAACACTATGTTTAAAAAGAGTAAGTACAAACTGAATCTTAATTTCTGATTGATTTAGGAATTGGAATTCGGGGTGTCTATTTGGTTTTGTGATGCTGATCTTGATGTTTTGGGTGAGATCTTTTCACATTGCTGCTGGAGCATGACAAACACTTTTAGTGGCATATAACCTATGATAAGTCTTGGACCCGTAGTAGGAAATACTGGAGAGTTCCTCAGGAACTGCTTTTCCTACCTTTGCCATTTGTAACTTGCAAAGTGTCTTACACAAGTGATGTGGTGATACTGAAGATGCATTGTGCTGTACAATACACAACTGTATTGTTAATGTCATCTTCTACAACTGCATGGAAGAGAGCTACAACTGAGAAGTAACAGATGCCTGAACAGAAAAACATATAATCATTAATAAGTACTTGATCTATTCAGCTTTAGGACAGCTGACTCTGCTTAATGTTTGGATAATGGTGAGCAACCTCCTTTGTCCTGCACTGCAGACTGTTATTTAAATGCAATCTTAAAACAGGGCTAGTATGGACATGACAAAAAAGCACAAATACCTGTTTCTGAAGAGCCTTTGGGTTTGTATTACTTCCTCAAATAGATTCAGCTGTGGAGATCATTCTTGGTTCAATGGCTGCTCACCTCAGCCTCCTGTAGTGTAGTGTATTTCTTCTATTTTGTCCATTTGAGTCAAGGTGTTCCAAGTGAAAAAGCAAAAATGAGGCCAGGACCCAGGTGAGATCTCTGACTGTAAGGAAGTATTCAGATTCCATATTAAGCAGAATATTGCTTGCCTGTAAGTTTTGTTTGAGCCAAAAAACAGTAAGGAAAAATTTGCTTAATATGTGCATATATACACAAACATATAAGGACAGTCTAGTTCATGCAGATGATAAATGCTATGAAAAATCTTTAAGGGTAAAGCTATTCTTTCCAGAATCAATCATTTTGCTGATAACAAATTATTTTAGTTGTGTGTGGAGCTAAATGTTGCACAAACTTCATTAATGGATCTGACCGATAACTAATGAGAACTGCATCTTAGTCATACTGCTATCTGCTATTCTCATCTTGCTGATCTTAAGAGTTTCTCCTGTGGACATAGCTGTCTACTGGTGTTGTGGGAGCTTGTAGAGAGAGAAGATTTGCAGTAGCTTGAATGTAAAATTCATAAAAACATCCAGAGGCACAATTCTCATCTCCCTGTAAGGCCACAGTAGAAGTGACTTCTCACTGATAGCGGTGATATATAAAGGCATTTTTATCACTAGAGGATGGAATTCATAGAATTTAAGACATTCATCTCTCTTCTGTCCTTTTTACATCTGTCAAAATTGTAAATATACCAGAGTAGTAATATAAGGATTCTTAGTCCTCGAACTCTCTTCATCTGTGACCAAAAGGCTGCTGTTTAATTTCACTAGAAGTCAGTGTCTTTGGCTTGGACTGTAGAATAGAGGACTGGCACACTGAAGGCATCAAATGGCCCAGGAGAGGATAGTAAATGATAGGTAGACTGTATTGCCATCAGTCCTTTATTTCATCATGAGAGTTTTATATTAGGAAAAGACTTGAAAAGAAGGGTTGGAAATAAGGAAACTACTAAAGAGATTTCTGTATATACATATACTGTCTCACTGAATGTCTATGGAAGAAGTATAAAGTAGCTTCTATCCTGCAGAGGTAGTATCTTGATAAAAGCTGCATATACTACTGTATGTTTGGCCTCCTGAATATTCTGTTCCTGTTCCTTTGGTGACTTTGATATTGTGTGTAAATTAATTAATCTTTAGTTTTTGTTTTACCATGACAGAGTTCATAGAAGAACTTCTCCACTCTTGTTTCGAGATTTATTGCATTAACACAAAGGCACAACAGTGATCACAGTATTCCACCCTGCTCTACAGAGCTGCTAAGAGAATTGAATAACACAGCTTGCACGTTTTTTATCCCATTGTTAATGGGCATGTCATCCTTAGTGAGAAGTCTGTGACAAACGTGTACTTTGCTTAAAGTGCTCTAACAGGCTCTTATTACAATAAAAATGGCATTTCAGACTGAAAATATAGCTTTAATAGTCATGTTTGAGAAAAAGGAGTTTGCACGGGCTGCCTGACGCTCTGGAATCTCTCTTTGTGTGTGCATGTAATATTTATGTGATATTATGCTTATCTGGGAATACACACTGTGTTGGAGAATTTTAGCTCACTGATGCCAGTTACTGCATGAAGTTATTTCTGATATTCATAAACACGGTTCAAATCAGATTTGGGAGTAGTATGCATAGGTAACATGAAATGTCACTAAGGACCAGATGTTCAGCTGCTGTGTAATGACACTGACCCTTTGAGGGCAATGAAATAATGCCGGTTTGTGACCTGGGTATTGAGCTCTAAACTTCTGTGTGCAGTAAAAATGCACAGTCACTCCCCTGCCTGAGTACAAGTAACCTCAGGCTGTTTGTACACTTAATTTCTTTGTTTTTCTCTTCTTAGTGTTGGAGCACTCGTGGGCCTGTCGATAGCAGCAGTGGTCCTCTTTGCTTTTATCATCACTGTGTGTGTTCTCTGTTACTTGTTTATCAGCACGAAGCCACACAGCAAACTGGATACTGGTTTAAGCTTACAGATGGCAGGTAAGACCAGTTGTTATTGACATACCTTAACTCCTGCAGAGGGAGAGCCTTATTCTGTCTTTAAATGGATGTGAAGGAATCCAACAGTGTGTATTTTCTTTCTGATGGGGACCTCAAGATGTAGTCAAGCTATCCTGCTGTTTTACCTTTTGAATGAAATCTGTACCAAACTCAAATGAAAAAATCTAGCACAAGCTTAATATATTTATTTAGTGGTAGGAAGAGCGTAAAACTTCACAATACTGAGTACGGGTGCAACAAATAAGTCCCTTTATCAGGAAGAGGCTTAATGAGTTAGTTGCTCTGGATTTCCTGTCAAGAGTACATAAACATATAGTAGTGATTTCATTCTAATAATAAGAATCTCAAAAGAGATTTTACTTGTATTTTCTGGTGACAGGGAGAGATCGTTCTTTTTTCTTTTTTTCTGACATAGGATCCAGTCTTTGAAATCTAAGACTCTTTGCTTCAGTCCTAGTAGTCCATACCTTTGTGCCCAAACTGCATCAGCGGACACCTGCAGGAACAGTGCATGTAGCCAGTGTTAGCCCACTGGCATGGGAAAACCTGTTGTGGCTGCTACATTTCACTACATTTGTGAAATGTGACTGCAAGTTTTGATAGCGGGATGGGGTGTGATAAGTTTCGCCCTTTGTTTTGGCCTTCCTGAATGTTTAAATGTGGCTTCAGTAGTTCAACCAGTAAGTTGTAGGAAGTAAAGGGAATGTTGTACTTATTTAGGCCTTGGAAGTTGAAAAAGGGGAATAATTCTTGGGAAAAAAGTCCCCTCACCTCAAATTCATGTTTTCTTACTGGTTTTTAAAATGCTTCCATACCTGCATGGCAATAAATGACCAATGAGTTACTGTAATTATAGCCTATTATACAGCAGTAAGTCCCCTCCTGAGTGTCTAGTTAACACAGTTGACTTCATACCAAACTTCCTATGTCTTGTTTTGTTCTCCAGAGAATGCAGGCTTTGGTCTAAAAGTGGTTTATAGAGCTGTCAGGAAACACAAAGCCTCCCTTTGGAGCTACATAAGCTGAGCAAGCTGCCAAAGTGAAAGTGACACATTCAGCAAACTGCTGCTAATCTGCAAATTGAAAACTTCACACCTGTCCTGGAGAGAGAGAGAGAGAGTGGAAATAAGACCTGCTACCTAGAATGGCCTAAATAAACTCTTGGGTGGGATGAACAAGAGGCCTAGTGATCTCTTACAAGATGGTTGTGTTCTAATTATAAACTGGCATTATGCTTTTGAACGCGTTGCTGTTTAACTTCTTCCCTCAGGTTTTCCTGCTATGCCATCAGCTCATAATTCATCACCAGGACAGCAGTGCTGTTTTTCTCATGCTTTTTATTTTTGTGCCAGACATGTTTGGCGTATGGGGAGCTGGGAAGGAGGCAGGTGCTATTGCACCGCTGCTGCCAAGTGATTCCATCTTTCTCTACAGACTTGAACCCTGCTGCAGAACCACATCCTGCTTTGGCATTAGAGATCATTCCTCTCTTCCTATCATGAGGTGAACAGCATCCCAAGCTCCCCCACTGATGACCCAGCATTCACAAAGACATCCTGTGTCTCATGATTCCAGGTGTTACGAGTCCAGGAAGCTGAGAGATCTTTGCTTTTTCCTAACCATCTCCTGTGTTGTTTTGAGCTTTATTCAGACTGCATTGCTTTGTATTTACACACTGTTTTGACTTTGCTCTCATCCTGTGTTTTTCACTTTTATTATTCTGCTTCTTTGGCTGCTCTGAATGACAATTATTTCACATCTAAATTCTGATAGCTTTAGCTATTGATGAGTTGGGTTGCCAGAAATTGAAAACCAGTTGCTTTGCCAAGGTTGAGGGATCTTTGAAAATGTTGAAGGATTCCATTGACAAGCCTGAGTGCTTCTCTTTGTCATACTTGGGTTTCTTTTGCATGGAAGTCATGCAAGGTTTGAGTGTCTTATGACTGGTTATCTGCTTTCAGGCCTGGGGAACAATAAAAGTAGCCTCTCTCCTCCTCTTCCAGTTCTTCTGAGATTTGAGCATAATCATATATAGGCAATAAAAATGAATTAAAAAAATCAAAACAGTTTTTAGAAGCTGCAGAAAATTTTAGGCCTGAGGACCATGAGTTTTAACTGTGAACTCAGTTCAGCCCTGCTCTTTCTGAACTAGCATAATCTTGCCTTTAGATGAAGACTGTGTCACACATTAGGTGGTGTGCATTGTCTGTACCCCTGGAGCATTCAGAGAGCACTCATTTACGAAAGCAGTATTTTTTATTTTTTTATTATTCAATTTTACCCATAATATATCAGCTCAGTTGGAGTTTTGTATTTCATTAAACATACGATTGATTATTGTATGCCTTTCCTCCCTTGTGTAATAGTCAAAATTGCTCATTGTTCTGTGGACTCATCCAAGATCTCCTAAACATTGAAGTGGAATTGTTGAATTTTTACAGAAATAATTTCAAGATCAATCATAAATCTAACAATAAACTGGATGTGCGGCCTTTGTTAAATTTCTGATTCTGCAAAAGGCAGATCAGCTGGAATTTGCCTCTGTTTAGTCTTGAACAAATGGTCTTCAATAGCATCAACACAGATGTTATCTGTGGGGTTCCTGAGTTAGCTAAGCATGTTGTTAGCCCTAGCAAAAAATTAGCATTTTAATCTGAACTGAATTTAAGGAAAAATGAGCTCAGTCACTGGTGTAGACCAGGAGTTACTACTTAAATGTTAATGGAGTTATACTCATTTCTATTTGTAGTATCATAGTGTAGAGTGCAGAGTAGATCCCTTATATGCAAGACAGTGTGTACAAGCAAATGGGAGGATCCCATATCTCAAGGAGTTTACAGTCTAGTTTATCAGATCTAGTATTTCTCAATAAAAACCAGCAACATACTTTACCTCTTTCAATGAAATCCTCTCCTTTTACAGGCAAAATCTCAGCTCTTTATACATTGCTTTCTTATTGTTTGCCCTCTGCCTCAGAATGTGAGGTTCACCGAGGATTTGGCTTGTGGGTTAATGATCTGCCTTACTGAAATGTCAAAGTGCTTCACAGTTTTTCCTCTATTTATCCTCACAGCTACCTTTCTGAAGTAGGGAGATGCTATTAGCCCCATCTCACAAGAAGACAGAACTGCAGGGAAGTGTCATATTTTTAATGCTTTGTGTGTCAGTTTAGACATTAATGTCTAGTGGAGTTTTGAAAGGACATCACTAACCAGAAGACCTTTGTCCTTTTGCTTATGATACCTCTAAAAACACAGCTCTAAGACTAGCTTGACACAGGAATTCTGTGGTACAGAGAATTGAGCCATGTTTTTTGAGACCAAGATGAATATTCAAATCATTGGAGCATAGTGAACTTACTTTTTAATCATACAAGTTGCTCAGTAAGCTCTTTCTAAGAGAAAGGATTTTTCATTTAACTCATTGTAGGTGTTTTTGCTTCTCCCATTTGAAGGCTGGAGAACTATAAAAGTGTTTCTTCTTGGTAAACAAAGGCCCCAAAGAAATCCAAGCCCTGAGAATGCAAATGTTACAGATTTTCCCAAGATGACAGGGAATTTGGTCATATGCTTTGTTTTCCGTCTAACCAAAAAACTTCTCTGTGCAAAAGCTTTTTGCCCTTCAAAATGTAGGGAACTAGGGAGTCGCAAGATTGCAAGTGTTTTGTTAAGGCTGAGTGAACAATGCTGGAGCATCTAGGGAAGATGAGGAGGACTGAGTAAAGATTGCATAATTGTCAGAAGAGGAGTGGTAAACAGGCAGAAAAGGAGGAATCTAGAGGCATATCTGCTGATCAGCTCTGGGAGAAGGTAAGATGCACATAAGCTTCTGTCAAACAGGCAGCTGATGGGAGAGGAGTGGCCATCTGTGCTGGCCCCTTAGTATGAGTTTTGCCATCAGAGAGAAAAAGGTAGATAGAGACTCTTCACCTTGGTGACCCAAACAGTTTGTAAACACGTTTTCTGAGTTGCCCCTGTGTTTCTGCCAGTGTTAGTCTGGGAAGACCTTTGGGGCGAGGTGTCCTATACCACTGCAAAGTGAGAAGAGCAAATTACATTTTATGGTGGTAACTAACATTTTCCTTTAAAACTTAGCACAGGAAGACCTCTGTAATGCATTCAGAGTCAGATAGCAGGGACCTTTGGGTTGGAGTATGAAGAGAACTGTGGCCTTGTAAACTACTCATGAGTACTGGGAAAAATGTGCTTTGATAGAAGAGATTAATTCCTTGTTCTTACAAAGCAGTGACATCATAGTATGCAAAAATTCATGGTTTCATTTCATAATAAAGAAAAACTCAGCTCGAAAAATAGTCAGATGACCTTCTATTGTGGTTTAATTTCAGTCGGCAACTAAGCACTGTGCAGCCGCTCGCTCACTCCCCCCCACCCAGTGGGATGGGGGAGAGAATTAGAAGAGCACAAGTTAGAAAAACTCGTGGGTTGAGATAAAAACAGTTTAATAATTGAAATAAAATGATAATAATAATAATATGATAATAATACACAAAACAAGTGATGCACAGTACAATTGCTCACCACCTGCTGACCGATGCCCAGCCAGTCCCCGAGCAGCAGCCCCCCCGGCCAGCTTTCCCCAGTTTATGTACTGAGCATGACATCACATGGTATGGAATGTCCCTTTGGCCAGTTTGGCTGTGCCCCCTCCCAGCTTCTTGTGCACCTGCAGCCTTCTCAGTCATGAGCATGGGAAGCTGAAAAGTCCTTGGCTAGTGTAAGCACTACCTAGCAACAACTAAACCATCGGTGCGTTATCAACTTTGTTCTCATCCTAAATCCAAAACACTGTACCAGCTACTAGAAAAGAAATTAACTCTATCCCTGCCAAAACCAGGACACCTTCCTGTCCCTGTTTCTCTCCTTAATTAAAGATACCTCATGGGGCACTATTCAAATATACAAAACATTCAGATATTTTGATGAAAAAGCCCTAAACTCTCACACTTTCTCCTCCTTAGC